AGTAATGTTTTTTATGTTATAAGTATTTATTATGTATGCAATTCATGCTTCTATGGACACGTGCTCAACATCTGCCGTTTAATATATTCCTGTATAAACGATGTAGACATAATATATTCCTCAACATACTCATTTCCCCCCGGTTATGGTAAAGAGCTGATATTGTGAAGCTAATTTACTAAAAAATATTGATGCAACTAATACATTTTTTTTTTCATTTGTTACATACTATTTGTCCAAAAGTAAAACAATTAATATATAGTTTTATTTTCAAAGCACACATGGGATCAAGGGCCTCTACGCCATTTGGCGCAACGGGTCAACTAGAGCATACCCGACCCAACCCAACCAAGCAGCTGAGCATCCGCTTCTCCTCTCTCGCTCGATTCGATTCGATTCGAGTGCCCCAACCCAAACCGGCCGGCCGCCGCCGCCGCCGCCGATCTCCTCTCCCCCAACCCTACCGGCGACCTCGTCTCCTCCAGCCCTCCACCACACCACACCGCCCTCTCCTCCTCCCCACTCCTTCTCTTCTCTCCCCTTCCCTTCCCTTCCCAGGGAGAGGGAGGGATGCCCCAGATCCACCTCCGCAGCAGCTCGGGCCGCGGCAACCACGCGCCGGCAGAGGACGACTACTCCCACCGCCACCGCGTCCTCCGCCTTCCAACCCCATGGCCGCCCGCCCCGTCCAACCTCCATGGCTGTCCCGAAACCCTAGCCCGTGGCCATGGCGCCCGAGCTCACTATCCTTCTCCGACAAGGTAAGAATCCCTCCTCCATTCTCTTCTTCTTCTGCTTCTCTGCTCTACCCTGCTCTCTCTCTCTCTGACCTCTCATCTTCCCCAACCACGCAGCAGACCAGCAGGTGCGGCGCAAGGCCGAGCACGCCGATCGATGCAGCGCACATCAGCAGGACCACGACGCCATGAGGGTGCAGGAGGTGACCACGCCAAACAGCCGGCCTTCAGGGTAATATTCTCGTTACAGTTCCATCATGTACGTGAGTTGCAGCATGTAGGCGGAATGGTGGATGTGCAGAATGTGCCCGTTCGTCCCTCCCTGCCAAGTGCTGTACATATTTCCGAGAGTTGCAGCAGTAACCAACCGGAGCATGTAGAGATTTGCAGCGATTGGTAATTTGGTAGGTTAGTTGGTGGCAGTAAAAAAATAATGGACCTTTCTTCATCATTTAGAGAAATGACATGACCTGTAGATATATGCATGTGAATTAGTAATTTAGTTTTACCAAATAAGTTGAACAAACTCATTTTCGAATTTCAGTCAAGAGGGCTGTCAATTATTAAGATTCACCTTATTATTCGCCGATACAAGAAAGATAAGAGACCTCAAGTTAGTAAGATTGACAGTGAACTAGATTGAGCAAAGTCGTCGATGTTTACCATTGACCTCGCCTAATTTGAAAGACTGCAGTTTAGGAGTCACTCCCTTTTTTTTTGCATTTGCACACTGTTTTCACATTATGTACCTTGGTTCACTTCAACTGAGAATTGAAGGCCTTTTTGATGTTGTGCACTTGTCCCATGTTAGCTTCTGAGAATTTGATGGCTGCGACCCGCGAGGCCGAGCACGCCGATGCAGCGCACATCAGCAGGACCACGACGCCACGAGGGTACAGGAGGCGACAGCCGGTGTCCAGGGTAACATTCTCGTTCCAGTTCCATCATGTACGTGAGTAGGATTGTTCCTCCTGTAGGTGGAACGGTGGATGTGCAGCATGTGCCTGTTCGTGCCTTCCTGCCAACCACATACTGTATTTCCTAGAGGAGCAGTAGTAATTAACTGGAGCAGAGATTGGTAGTTTGTCTGGTTAGTTGGTGGCAGTAAAAAAAGAATGGAGCTTTCTACATCGTTCAGACAAATGAAATGACCTGTAGATATATGCATCTTAGTTAGTAATTTAGTTTTACCAAATAAGTCTAACTAAGTCATTTTCGAATTTCAGTCGAGGGCTGTCAGTGATTAAGATTCACCTTATTATTCCCCAATATAAGAAAGATAGAAAACTTAGATTGGCAGTGCCTAATTTGAAAGACCGCTGTGATTAAGTTGGACTTGTCAATTTGCATTTATTAACTGTAAAAAATGTTCTTCTCTGCAGACCAAGAAGAAATTTCTTGAACTGAAACTTTCTAGTCTGGGTATGTCATAAATTCATGAATGATGGACACGCTGCTCTTTTCCTGTGGCTGATAGTTATTCTTCTCTGAGTAAATGAATTCCCTTTTGTTGTGCCATGATTCAGAACTCTTCATTTGTTTGGATCTGGAGTGTTCATTCAATACTTGCATCTGCACTTTTCTATTGGACCTGCGAAAAAATTCACTGCTCACCTATTAAATAATAATTTAAATTAAAGCATGGCTGGGATTGGTTGTGGTGCTACAGTTGTTGGAGTGCAGCTCGGATGGGCATTATACCTTTCTTATCTGTGTGGAAGTATTACACTTCTTGTGAAAGTGCTACACTTCCTGTATGCTGCTACATGCATGATTTGAGAAAATCATGTTCCTCTGCCTTCTGCTACCCAGCATTCTAATCCTTGGTTTCTGGAAGCATTATACTTTTCTTATTGTGACCGCATCATGATTTTCAACTCAAAACATGATATCGTTCCATTAAAATGTCAAATATTTGGAATTTTTTGTTCCCATGTTATTGCGTGTCATGCGATTTCTCAAAACTGCTCGTAGGGCTAGAAGTAATGGATAATGTATCTGTTTGCTTGTATTTTTCCTCATTTAAGGAGATGGAACCTGATGCATTTCTACACAAGTTTTAGAGAAAACATACATCTTATGATTATGAATTTCAGAAATACCATGTTGCATTTTAGCGCATATATTCAGTTCTAATGTCAGTATTGTACTATTGTTAGACTATACTTGAAGAGCTATTCCGATTACAGTGTCCCAGTTCACAAACTCGAAATCTTGTCATTTCTACTATTACTTGCTTGAACATATTTTGATAGTTGACCTCTGGTCTGTTGAAGCTTAAAGTGCTACCTTTTTGGCTTATGCTTGTTGTTTTTCATTGCAAACAGCAGGTGAAGGTGAAGCGTTTCTCGCCAGGTTAGCAACCACTGCTAGAAGGATCAGAATGGTGTTCTGTACTGACCTCCATTTTGCCACTGAAAATCGCTAGGCCGTGCATGAGGAGACGGTCGTCAAGGGCCTGGACGGAGATGCTTCCTCCGTCTGCTGCTGGTAGGCCATGGAGCTTCCGAGCCTATCAGGAAGGAGGAAGGGCTAAGATCTACCCTACGGAAGGAAGGAAGGAGGAAGAGGCCATTGGCGACGGAGAAATCCCCGTCATCGGCTGCTCCTCCAAGTCCCAAGGTAACCCCTCCCCTCTTCTCTTCTCTTCTCATTATCCTCTACATCCAAGGAAGCAAGGTTCTGAGGGTGGAAACCATAGCAGTGAAGTTAGACAAAGACTGAAAGAGGTCATATTATTCACAAAGACTCAAGTTGGACAGTTCCTTCTAACTTGTTACATTCTGCTCGATCTGTTAGATATAAAAATCTTCAGAAAGAAAACAAAGTCCTCTTTAATTTGCTTACGCTCTTACTACAAGACTGCTGGTTTAGTTACTTGTTCCAGATCAGCTTTCAATTTCTAAGAGATTCTTTTTATAAGTCACGGCCAAATTTGTCTCTGAAGAAGCACGTTGATAGATACATGAAAACTTTTTATGTCCTCTGAGTATTCAGACACAGAACACAATTCCCCTTTATGTGTGGACATTGGCGATGGTGTACGAGCGGAATCTAACTTTATACTGTTAAAATTTGTCATTATGGGCTTCTTAGTTTATTTTGAAAGCCTTGATATTTTATTGCAGCCCTAAAATAATTATAAGCATAGATGGAGGTTTAGTATAATGATATGCCCAATACTTTACAGTGGAGTAAAAGAGCTCTTCCTTGAATCCAATGTTCTACTCTGTTAGGAGTTTGTATTATCATATTACCACTTTAAATTGCATTTGATATCTGTTCCTCTTCATAGGGATGGAGGAGGTCCATCATTATCTACCACAACAATGATCAGGTACAAGCAAAACATAAGTCTCGTCCCTATTTTCTTGCTCATGCTTAATATGCTCTCGATACACTTGGTCGTTTTTGTGGGTTGTTCATTATTTCCATGATTCTATAAATTCTGTTATATTGGAATGTTGTTCATGTCTTATTTTGTTTCTATGCTTGGGTTGTAGGTGGAAGGATGTGCCTGGTTTGTTCTTGTTGTTGTTGTTGTATTCAGATGATATCGACCTGTTATTTAGACATCATGCTCTGGTGGTAAAAAGAAAATGGTGGAGCTTGCCTATGTGGACCATGCCTATTTATGGTGCATATGGTCGGATCACGTAGGGATTTCAATCGCCTTTGTAGCACTGATATGATGCTCTTGAATTTGTTGCATACATTCTGCCACGTTTTTAAGTCGCCGTAATCAGGCCACAGTCATAGCCACCAACACTGCAAATGGTCAATCAATTCTCCCAAGTCCCAACACAACCATGTTGGTTTTACTTGGTTAAACCAAATAAATCAGAACCACCCTCTAATCTTCTTTAGCTGCCAACTGCTGCAAATGCGAACTATGGTATATATTAACCAAGGTGGCACACACACACACACACACACACACACACCTGCTCTACTGATTTGATGTGTCTTCTTGGTGATTGATTTAAATTAAGGTCAAATAGTACTCATGACGGTAGTATAAATCAAGGGTTACTTGCTGGCCAAATTGATAACGCGTCTCCTCGATGACTGATTGTTAACTACAAGAAAACTTTTTCAGGGGCTTGCTGATCACAAAAGGTCAACTTGGAGCTCCTCTCTAACCTTGCAGGTAATTAATCATCTCATGAGTTTCTAAGAAATACATCGCTGCTGTCCGTTTCTAGCAGAATGTATTTCTTATGCCTCGAATCTATGATTTGGAATTTCATTAAACTAGGAATTATGATGACAAGTACACTGAGGCGGCACAAGGGTTCTGGAGAGGTGAGATGGTCTTAACATATTGCTGTTCATTATCTTCTACGGTGGCACATAGAGAAGAAGTTTGGGAGCCTGGCATGCTCTTCTCATGTTTAAATGCTAGAGATGTACCATAGTGTTCAATTTTTTCCCTCTTTGGTTCTTATCATTGTCGGACATATGTTCTTGTCTGTTGCATACCCATTTCACATTAACTACTGAGGCAAATTATGATTTGCTATGTTATGGTAAAGGCTTATATTTAAAGCAGTACGCTTGCCACTCCAGCACCTTTTGCTCCCTTATGTAGTCCGTCACCGCCTTGTCATCAAGGACACGAGTGCATTTGTTCAGTGGACGTTACTTTTTGCCTTGGTAGCAGTAGTAGTCAATAGTGCATTAGTTAAACCAAAATCAATCAGAGACCCTCTAATCTTCTTTCGCTACTAGCTATACTGACGTGATGCATCTCCTATATGGTTGATTTAAGTTAAGGTCAAACATTGTTCATGGCGCTAGTATGATAATTCAAGAGTTTATGTACCTGTTGTACTGATGTGAAGTGCCTCCTTCATGATTAATTGATTGTAACTAGGAGAGAACTTTTTCAGGGGCTTGCGGACCACAAGGACCGACTTGGAGCTCCTCTCTGCCCTCGCAGGTGGGTAATGGTCTCATGGGTTGTCAGAAGGATCTATGGTCTGCTTGTTTCTGACATACATTTTTACTCATGCCTGAACTTGCTAATTTGGATTTCTTTAAACTAGGCATTACGATGACGAGGCCGCCGAGGCAGCGCAAAGGTTTTGGAACTGTCTGTGTGTTCTCATGCAAGAAAGGTGGGTCATTGTTTGTAAAATCTTGTATTTTATTATCATTTACAGTAGCACGTTTAAGGACTGGAGATGTAGCAGAGTGTTCAGTTTTCCTCTTGGCTTCTTATCATTGTCTGACATGATACATACTTTGCATGTCCTAGTCACTAGTGAGCGTGTGATAATGAAGTGAATCATCCACCTCTATAGCTCGGTTCCGTCCATGTTTTTTGTTTGGTACTTTGATCTCAGTCTGGATTGTGGTGTGCTTTTGTGATGTTATCCAGCTTGAAAATAAACAAGTGTTCAGAATAGTTGCAAAAGAAGCTCGACAGAAACTATACCTTGCTAATTAATAGTATCAGACTATATCTACTGCAAGTGGTTCATGCCTAACACAGCAAGCTTCAAATTGAAACTCTCTCTATATAGTCATTTCATTATTTCGACGGCATTAGAATTGAATAGTTATGGTTGTGATAGATATATGTGCTGCGCCCTTTACTGTTCTTCACAATGAGTGGGTCAGGTCCGCTGTAGGTATCTTATCTTTCGTAGAGGTGGGATGTATAACTAGATGGCAAAGCTGATCCAAGGAACTACTAGTAGCAGCCTTAAATTCTGTTGGCAGCAAAGTTGTAAATGTCTTTTCTGTTGCATGCCTGAATAATGTATTTGTGCTATCTAATCCTGAACTAATATAATAATGGTTCTGAAGTACTATGCCTGAATAATGTATTTGTGCTATTTAATCCCGAACTAATATAATAATGGTTCTGAAGTACTATGATGTTGGTTGCTCCACCAGTTATACATGCTGTTATATATAGTGCCTTTGCCATCAGTGATCTTCCTCTGTTTGCTATCATCCTCTTACTTGAGATGTTCATTTGATGGCTTTGTGTCAAGTCATTGGTAGATGGTGATGACTCCTTTGTTATAGTCATGATGTTTGTTATTCTGCAATTGAACTTGGGATTCTTTGTTCAACTGATCTGTATTAGCTTGCTTGCTATGTCCTTATTATTTTGGCAGCATACCAAGCTATGCATGCTTCTCAGCTGCAGGTGTTCCCAAATGCTGCTGACAACCAGATGCAAGTGGGTACCCGTGTGTTGCAAGGTGAACCTGAGATGGCAACAGACAGCAAGTTCCTGGGCGAGTTTGACCTCATCGTCATCCCGCCAGCACCAAGGGCCACACACACAGATCGAGGTGGACACCGTCGCCTAAGACCAAGCCCACTTCCACAACCGTGCGTCGGGAGAGGAGGAATGGCTATTGCTTCCTCCACTGTGTTCACATCACCCCCACCCAAGTTGGGCAACTTGCTGTACAGGTGAGAACATTTCCCCTCTCAGTTGATCAAAACAATGTTCGGTGTTGGATCAGGCATTTAAGAAAATTATGGTGTCACCTTTATTTATTACTTCTCACCAAAGCTCTCGCCTTACTTGTTGTATAGGTGCATCTTCTCTTGCTGTATAGGCTAATTTGGTTGGTTAGTTGGTGCCAGTAAAAAAAGAACGGGCCTTTCTTCATCGTTTAGACAAATGGCATGACCTGTAGATATATGCATGTGAATTAGTAATTTTGTTTTACCAAATAAGTTGAAAAAAGTCATTTTCGAATTTCAGTCAAGAGGGCTGTCAATGATTAAGATTCACCTTATTGTTCCTCAATACAAGAAAGATAGAAAACTCAAGAGCAAAGTCATCGATGTTTACCATTGACCTCACCTAATTTGAAAGACTGCAGTTTAGGAATCACATTTTTTTGCATTTGTACACAGTTTAGACATTATGTGCCTTGGTTCGCTTCAACTGAAAATTGAAGACCTTTTTAATGTTGTGCAATTGTCGCATGTTAACTTTTGAGAATTTGATTGCTTATTTGATGATGTTGTTTTGTTTATGTGACAATCTGAGAGCTTATCCACAGTAGCTTCTCTCTGCTGAGGACAGTTGTACCTGTCAATTTGCATTTATTAACTGGAAAAAATGTTTATTCACTAAAGATAAAAAGAGCGATTTCTTGAACTGAAATTTTCTAGTCTGGGTATGTCATAACTCCTTGAATGATGGGCGCGCTGTTGTTTTCCTGTGGTTTATAGTTATTCTTCTCTGACTAAATGAATTCCTTTTTGCTGTTGCATGATTCAGAACTCGTCATTGTTTGGATCTGGAGTGTTCATTCTAAACCTGCATTTACGCTTTTCTATCAGACTTGCGAAAAAACCCACTGCCCACCTATTAAATAATTAAATTAAAGCACGATTGGGATTGGTTATGGTGCTACAGGTTTTGGGGTGCGGCTCGGATGTTAGTTTTTACTAGCAGGCATTATACCTCCTTATCCGTGTGAAAATATTACACTTGTGAAAATGCTACACTTCCTGTATGCTGCTACATGAATGATTTGAGGAAATCATGTCTAGGACACCATGTTAACCTTGGTTTCTGGAAGCATTATACTTTTTCTATCATGGCAGCATTATGATTTTCAATTCATAACCTTCTATCCTTCCATTAAGATGTGAAATATTTGGATCTTTTTATTCCTATGTTATTGAGTGTCCTGCGATTCCTCAAAACTGCTCTTAAGGTTACAAGTAATAGATAATGTATCTGTTTGCTTGTATTTTTCCTCATTCAAGGAGATGGAACCTGATGCATTTCTACACAAGTTTTAGAGAAAACATACATCTTATGATTATGACTTTCAGAAACACCAAGGTTCATTTAAGCAAAGATATTCAGTTCTACTGTCAGTATTGTTACACTAGAAGAGCCATCCTGATTACAGTGTCCCAGTTCACAAACTCAAAATCTTGACGCTTTTACTATTACTTGCTTGAACATATTGTGATAGTTGACCTCTGGTCTGGTGAGGCTTAAAGTGTTGCCTCTTTGGCTTATGCTTGTTTTTCGTCATTGTGAACAGGTGAAGGTGAAGCGATTCTTGCCAGGTCAGCAACCACTACTAGAGGGATCAGAATGGTATTCTGGATTGGAGCTCCATTGCCACTCAAAATCACGAGTGGCCGTGCTCGAGGAGACGGTCGTCAAGGGCCTGGTTGGAGATGCTTCCTCCGTTTGGTGCTGCTCGGCCATGGAGCTTCTTAGCCTATCAGGAAGGAGGAAGGACTAAGATTTACCCTACGGAAGGAAGGAAGGTAGGAAGGAGGAAGAGGCCACCGGCGATGGAGAAATCCCCCATAATCGGCAGCTCCTCCAAGTCCCAAGGTAACACCTCCCTCTTCTCTTCTCTTCTCATTATCCTCTACATTCAAGGAAGCAAAGGTTCTGAGGGTGGAAACCCTAGCAGTGAAGTTAGACAAAGACTGAAAGAGGTCATATTATTGACAAAGACTCAAGTTGGACAGAGTCTTCTAACTTGTTACATTCTGTTTGATCTCTTACATATAAAAATCTTCAGAAAGAAAACAAAGCCCTCTTTTATCTGCTTACATTCTTACTATAGGACTGTTGTTTAGTTACTTGTTCCAGATCAGCTTTCAAGTTGTAAGAGATTCTCTTTATAATTCATGACCAATTTGTTTCCGAAGAAGCTTGTTGATAAATACATGAAAAATTTCATGAACTCCGAGTATTTGGACACAGAACACAGTTCCCCTTTATGTGTGGATTGTTGATGATGTACAAGTGAAATCTAACTCTATATTGTTAAAATTTGTGATTATGGACTTCTTAGTTTATTTTGACACGCTTGATATTTTATTGTAGGCCTAAAGTAATTATAAACATAGATAGATGTTTAGTATAATGTCATGTCCAATACTTGACAGTGGAGTAAATCAAATCCTAACTAATCTGCTTTCTTTATTAGGATGGACAGTCTATTATAATTATAAATGGTTACTCTAAAAGAGCTCTTCCTTGAATCCAATGTTCTACTCTGTTAGGAGTTTGCATTAGCATGTTACCACTTTAAATTGCATTTGGTATTTGTTGCTCTTCACAGGGATGGATGAGGTCCATCATTATCTAATTGACAAAAGAGCCCCTTGGAGGGGTACTAAGATCACCCTTACCTCAATGACGATCAGGTACAGCAAAACATAAGTCTCGTCCCTATTTACTTGCTCATGCTTAATATGCTCTTGATACACTTGGTCGTTCTTGTGGGCTGTTAAGAGTTTCCATGATCCTATAAATGTACTGTCAGATTGAAATGTTTTTCGTGTCTTATTTTGTTTCTATGCTCTGGGTTTGTAGATGGAAGGATGTGCCTGGTTTTGTTGATTAATGATTCTTAGTTTTTGGAGGGTTCTGAAGAGACATTCAGTACTGGTGAAACTTGAGTTATACAAACATTTTCTGTTGCTTCACAACGGATTAAGACAGTTAGTTTGCAAATTTCTTGGATAAATTGAGATGATACCGACCTGTCGTTTAGACATCATGCTTTGGTGGTAAAAAAAAGTGTTGGAGCTTGCCTATGGGTACCATGCCTATGTATGGTGCATATGGTCGGATCGTGCTGGGATTTTGATTGCCATTATAGCACTGATACGATGCTCTTCAAATGGTTGCATACATTCTGCCTCGTTTTAAGTTGCTGGAATCAGGCTACAGACATAGCCACCAGCACCGCAAAAGGTCAAATCAATTCTCCCAAGTCCTAACACAACCATGTTGGTTTTACTTATTTAAACCAAATAAATCATAACCACCCTCTAATCTTCTTTAGCTACCAGCTGCTGCGAATGCGAACCATGATATATATTAACGAAGGGGGCACAAACACACACACATGCTGTACTGATTTTATGTGTCTCCTTGTTGATTGATTTAAATTAAGGTCAAATAGTACTCATGATGGTAGTATAAATCAAGGGTTACTTGCTGGCCAAACTGATGACGCATCTCCTCGATGATGGGTTGTTAACTACAAGAAAACTATTTTAGGGGCTTGCTGATCACAAGGATCAACTTGGAGCTCCTCTCTGACCTTGCAGGTAATTAATCATCTCATGAGTTCCTAAGAAATACATCGATGCTGTCCATTTCTAGCAGAATTTATTGCTTATGCCTCAAATTGATTATTTGGAATTTCTTTAAACTAGGAATTACGATGGCAAGAACGCCGAGGCGGCCCAAGAGTTCAGGAACTGCCGTGTGTTCCCATGCGAGAGAGGTGAGATGGTTCGTAACATATTTCTATTAATTATCTTTTGTGGTAGCACACAGAGAAGAAGGCTGGGAGCCTGGCATGCTCTTCTCATGTTAAATGCTAGAGATGTACCATGGTGTTCAGTTTTACCCTTTTGTGTTCTTATTGTCAGACATATGTTGCTTTCTGTTGCGTACCCTGTGATGTTAGCATATAATATATTTTTTAGACTAAAGCGATGCTTTATTACGATGACATGTTGGGCAGATCGCCCATTACACAGACTGCAACGTGGTCAAGTACATTTTCCTCTGAGAAGAAGGCTTCATTCACTTTGCATTTAATTCTATTGCATAAATTTGTGTGCACATCTTTAAGCTAAATGACAACCTTCTTGACGACCTGTCGAAGGAGTGTGGGGTTTATTAACTAAGGACCTCTTTTTTCTTCTTTAAAATGGCATGATTTTTATTGTACACCGTGCTCTAGTTTGATTGTACACAGCACACTTGACTTTCTGTTCCTATGTTATGGTGTTGCTAGAAGGAGGGCGTGAGAGGGCCGGTCGGGGGCCTTTCTGCCCACGGCCGGGCAAGAGGGAAGGGATTTCCTTCTTAATTCTTGCTTGATTAGATTGATACATCTCCTCTCTTTATATAGAGAGGTTTACTTGACTCCCAAGCAAGGCTTACTTGACCCTAAGTAAGCGACCCTTATCTCTAATTAACCCTAAGACTAACGGGCCCATTAGGCCCATTACGTACTCTAACACTACACCCCACCTGGACATGCAGCTTGTCCTCGAGCTGCAGCCTAACCAACTTATAACCATGACTCGACGCAACACAAACCTAACACCTAAAAACAAGCCTTTTACATCTCGGCTTGTTTTATTATTCTAAACCTGAAATGGACTGGGGCGCTTTATTTTGGACCCCTTAACAAAAAGTGGACATCATCCGCACATCGGACGTGCACGTGTACAGCCACCTTGATCCCATGGACACCACCTGGACAAAAGGACTGCATGTGTATGACCACCTGGAAGTGGTCGCAAGAGTGACCAGCAGAGGCGCCCTCGCGGCGACCGGTGGCGG